GCCTGAAGCGCCTCTTCAGCACGTTCAGCACCCCGGACAGCTCTTCCGGCCCCTCGCGCCGTCGAGCGGCCTGAAGCGGCTCTTTAGCACGTTCAGCACCCCGGACAGCTCCGTCATCGCCTCGCACCATCGAGCGGCCTGAAGCGCCTCTTCAGCACGTTCAGCACCCTGGACAGCTCCGTCGTCGCCTCGCGCCATCGAGCGGCCTGAAGCGCCTCTTCAGCACGTTCAACACTCCGGACAGCTCCATCGAGCGGCCTGAAGCGCCTCTTCAGCACGTTCAGCACCCCGGACAGCTCCGTTGGCCCCTTGCGCCGTCCAGCGGCCAGATGCGGTTCTTCAGCACCCCTGGACAGCTCCGTCGTCGCCTCGCGCCATCGAGCGGCCTGAAGCGCCTCTTCAGCACGTTTAACACTCCGGACAGCTCCATCGAGCGGCCTGAAGCGCCTCTTCAGCACGTTCAGCACCCCGGACAGCTCCGTTGGCCCCTTGCGCCGTCCAGCGGCCAGATGCGGTTCTTTAGCACCCCTGACAGCTCCGTCGGCCCCTCACGCCATCGAGCGGCCTGAAGCGCCTCTTCAGCACGTTCAGCACCCCGGACAGCTCCGTTGGCCCCTTGCGCCGTCCAGCGGCCAGATGCGGTTCTTCAGCACCCCGGACAGCTCCGTCGGCCCCTCGCACCGTCGAGCGGCCTGAAGCGGCTCTTTAGCATGTTCAGCACCCCGGACAGCTCCGTCGGCCCCTCACGCCGTCCAGCGGCCAGACGCGGCTATTCAGCACATTAAGCACCCCCGACAGCTCCGTCGGCCCCTCGCGCCATCCAGTGGCCAGACGCGGCTCTTCTTCACCTTAAGCACCACGGACAGCTCCATCGGCCCCACGCGCTCTCCAGCGGTCAGACGCGGCTCTTCAGCACCTTCAGCACCCCGGATAGCTCCGTCGGCCCCACGCACTGTCCAGTGGTCAGACGCGGCTCTTCAGCACGTTCAGCACCCCGGACAGCTCCGTCGGCCCCTCGCACCGTCGAGCGGCCTGAAGCGGCTCTTTAGCATGTTCAGCACCCCGGACAGCTCCGTCGGCCCCTCACGCCGTCCAGCGGTCAGACGCGGCTATTCAGCACCTTAAGCACCCCGTACAGCTCCGTCGGCCCCTCGCGCCATCCAGCGGCCAGACACGGCTCTTCTGCTCCTTAAGTACCCTGGAAAGCTCCGTCGGCCCCTCGCGCCATCCAGTGGCCAGACACGGCTCTTCTTCACCTTAAGCACCACGGACAGCTCCATCGGCCCCACGCGCTCTCCAGCGGTCAGATGCGGCTCTTCAGCACCTTCAGCACCCCGGATAGCTCCGTCGGCCCCACGCGCCGCCCAGCGGCCAGACGCGGCTCTTTTTCACCTTAAGCACCACGGACAGCTCCGTGGGCCCCTTACGCCATCGAGCGGCCTGAAGTGGCTCTTCAGCACCTTCAGCACCCCAGACAGCTCCATCGGCCCCACGCACTGTCCAGCGGTCAGACGCGGCCCTTCAGCACCTTAAGTACCCCGGAAAGCTCCGTCTGCCCCTCGCGCCATCCAGTGGCCAGACGCGGCTCTTCTTCACCTTAAGCACCACGGAAAGCTCCATCAGCCCCACGCACTGTCCAGCGGTCAGTCGCGGCTCTTCAGCACCTTCAACACCCTGGATAGCTCCGTCGGCCCCACGCGCCGCCCAGCGGCCAGACGCGGCTCTTCACAACCTTAAGCACCACGGACAGCTCCATCGACCCCTTACGCCATTGAGCAGCCTGAAGCGGCTCTTCAGCACCTTCAGCACCCCGGACAGCTCCGTCGGCCCCTTACGCCATTGAGCAGCCTGAAGCAGCTCTTCAGCACCTTCAGCACCCTGGACAGCTCCGTCGGCCCCACGCGCCGTCCAGTGGCCAGACGCGGCTCTTCTTCACCGTCAGCACCCCGGAGAGCTCCGTCGGCCCCTTACGCCATCGAGCGACCTGAAGCAGCTCTTCAGCACCTTCAAAACCCCGGACAGCTCCGTCGGCCCCTCACGCCATCCAGCGGCCAGACGCGGTTATTCAGCACCTTAAGCACCCCGGACAGCTCCGTCGGCCCCTCGCGCCATCCAGCGGCCAGACGCGGCTCTTCTGCACCTTCAGAACCCCGGACAGCTCCATCGGCCCCACGCGCCATCCAGCGGCCAGACGTGACTCTTCTTCCACCTTAAGCTCCACGGACAGCTCCGTTGGCCCCTTACGCCATCGAGCGGCCTGAAGCGGCTCTTCAGCACCTTCAGCACCCCGGACAGCTCCGTCGGCCCCACGCGCTATCCAGCGGTCAGACGCGGCTCTTCTTCACCTTCAGCACCCCGGACAGCTCCGTTGGCCCCTCGCGCTGTCGAGTGGCCTGAAGCGGCTCTTTAGCATGTTCAGCACCCCCGACAGCTCCGTCGGCCCCTTACGCCATCGAGCGGCCTGAAGCGGCTCTTCAGCACCTTCAGCACCTTCAGCACCCCGGACAGCTCCGTCGGCCCCACGCGCCGTCCAGTGGCCAGACGCGGCTCTTCTTCACTTTAAGCACCACGGACAGCTCCGTCGGCCCCATGTGTCATCCAGCTGCCAGACGTGGCTCTTCTGCACCTTCAGCACCACCGAAAGCTCCGTCTGCCCCTCGCTCCATCGAGCGGCCTGAAGCAGCTCTTTCGCATGTTCAGCACCCCGGACAGCTCCGTCGGCCCCTTACGCCATCGAGCGGCCTGAAGCAGCTCTTCAGCACCTTCAGCACCCCGGACAGCTCCATCGGCCCCACGCGCCGTCCAGTGGCCAGACACGGCTCTTCTTTACCTTAAGCACCACAGACAGCTCCATCAGCCCCACGCGCTGTCCAGCGGTCAGACGCGGCTCTTTTTCACCTTCAGCACCCCGGACAGCTCCGTCGGCCCCTCGCGCTGTCGAGCGACCTTAAGCGGCTCTTTAGCATGTTCAGCACCCTGGACAGCTCCGTCGGCCCCTTACGCCATCGAGCGGCCTGAAGCAGCTCTTCAGCACCTTCAGCACCCTGGACAGCTCCTTCGGCCCCACGTGCCGTCCAGCGGCCAGACGCGGCTCTTCTTCACCTTAAGCACCACGGACAGCTCCAACAACCACACACACAGTCCAGCGGTCAGACGCGGGTCTTCAGCACCTTCAGCACCACGGACAGCTCCATCGGCCCCACGCGCTGTCCAGCGGTCAGACGCGGCTCTTCAGCACCTTCAGCACCCCGGATAGCTCCGACGGCCCCATGCGCTGCCCAGTGGCCAGACGAGGCCTTTCTTCTCCTTAAGTACCACGGACAGCTCCAACAACCACACACACAGTCCAGCGGTCAGACGCGGGTCTTCAGCACCTTCAGCACCCCGGAGAGCTCTGTCGGCCCCACGCGCCGCCCAGCGGCCAGACGCGGCTCTTCTTCACCTTAAGCACCACGGACAGCTCCATCGGCCCCACGCGCTGTCCAGCGGTCAGACGCGGCTCTTCTTCACCTTCAACACCCCGGACAGCTCCGTCGGCCCCTTACGCCATCGAGCGGCCTGAAGCGGATCTTCAGCACCTTCAGCACCCTGGACAGCTCCGTCGGCCCCTCGCGCCATCCAGCGGCCAGACGCGGCTATTCATCACCTTAAACACCCTGGACAGCTCCGTCGGCCCCTCGCGCCATCCAGCGGCCAGACGCGGCTCTTCTGCACCGTCAGAACCCCGGACAGCACCATCGGCCCCACGCGCCATCCAGCGGCTCTTCTTCCACCTTAAGCACCACGGACAGCTCTATGGGCCCCACGCGCTGTCCAGCTGTCAGACGCGGCTCTTCTTCACCTTCAGCACCCCGGACAGCTCCGTCGGCCCCTCGCGCCGTCCAGCGGTCAGACCCGGCTATTCAGCACCTTAAGCACCCCGGACAGCTCCGTCGGCCCCTCGCGCCGTCCAGCGGCCAGACGCGGCTATTCAGCACCTTAAGCACCCCGGACAGCTCCGTCGGCCCCTCGCGCCGTCCAGCGGCCAGACGCGGCTATTCAGCACCTTAAGCACCCCGGACAGCTCCGTCGGCCCCACTCGCCGTCCAGCGGCCAGACGCGGCT